ACCCCAAACATTTTTTTATTTTTTGTGTTTTTTTGAAATTGCTTTTTTTTTTTTTTTTTTTTTTCATCTGGGCCCCTGCTGATGATGCCACTGCTCTCTTGCTTTCTGCAGTGGAGCCGGAGTTCAAATATGTTGGGAACATGCACGGGAATGAGGTGCTGGGCAGGGAGCTGCTGCTGCAGCTCTCTGAGTTCCTGTGCGAGGAGTATCGCCGCGGCAGCGAGCGGGTCACCCGCCTCATCCACGACACGCGCATCCACATCATGCCCTCCATGAACCCTGACGGCTACGAAGTGGCTGCCAAGCAGGTACCAGGCAAGGGATCACCTCATCCGCTTGGGCTGGGGGGGGGAAGCCCCTCAAAACATGGGCTCCTGTGGGTTCCCTGTCGTCAACTGCCAGGGGAGGGGGCATCCCTTCTCTCCTTGCTGAATTTGGCCTCCTCTCTGCTCCTCATCTCCCACGTCCTGCCCTGGGTGGACCTGGGTCCAGTTTACCACATGCAAGCCCAGGATGCCAGGTCCAAAGCACTTGGCTGAAGCACCCTGATGGCAGTGGCAGACAAGACCAGCACGGACAAGGCACATGAATGCCACCGTCATGAGCAGATGGGACAACATGGCTGCATGTGGCAGAAAACCTCCAGCCTCCACACCTCCAAACTCAGCCCTTTCCTTCGTGTCCCCAGCCCTACAGGAGACAGTTTGTCCAAGGCTGTTTCTTCTGAGGCGTACTGTTTATTTGGCACGTGCCTTGCTCTGTGACCCTCAAAACTGGAGATATTGTTATTGACTGTCAGGACCAATATTCTTTATTCTCCTGCCAGCAATAACGCACATGTTGTGACCCAAGGCCACTGGAGAGCCATTACCACAGCTGGGCTCTGCAGCTCTGACGCCCAGCCTGGGGCTGATACTCACCAGGCTGATACACCTTTGCCCTGCAGGGCCCGGACAGCATCGGGTACTTGACTGGGAGGAACAACGCCAACGGAGTGGACTTGAACCGCAACTTCCCTGACCTCAACACCTTCATGTACTACAACGGGGATATCAGCGGGCCAAACCACCACATCCCTCTGCCAGACAACTGGAAAAGTCAGGTACCAGTCTGGGATGCTGGGAGCACTACAACATGCTCCTGTAGTAGCCCAGCACCCAAAAGATATTTTCTCTCCTTTGGCTTGCATACAGCTTGTGCATGCAGAGAAACATCCTGCTTCTGCCCTGTATCACAGGTCACACCTCCATCAAGTGCAAAGGCTTAAGCAGGCAAATGGCTGGGGACATATCTGAGATGGCTGATCATGCCACAGCCTGCCAGGGCCAGCTGAGCCTGCCTCCCTGTCCCCTGCTTTGTCTCTGCAGTTTTGCTCTCATGAGCCCTCTTCTTCTCGCAGGTGGAGCCGGAGACGCTGGCTGTGATTCAGTGGATCAGCAACTACAATTTTGTGCTCTCAGCCAATCTGCACGGTGGAGCTGTGGTGGCAAATTACCCCTATGACAAGTCTCAGGACACGCGGTTCAGGAGCCACCGGCGCACAGTTAACACACCCACCCCTGACGACAAGCTGTTCCAGAAGGTGAGCGAGGGCCCGCACCAGCAAGGGCTCTTCCACAGACCCGACAAGGTGGAGATGGGAATTTTTCTAGAAATGCAGGCAGATGAAGGAGGAGAGCACCAAGAACATGCACAGATATCATGGAAAGCCTCAGTACATGGTGCTGATCCTGCTAGTGCTAGCTGAGGTCTGTGGTTTTTCTCCATTATTAAAATGTCCCAGAAAACAGTGTCTTCAGTCACTGCTGCCACTAGGAAATGTAGGAATCCTGCACAAGGAAAAAGTAAGCTTGTATTAGAACAGTTAATGAGAAAAATAAGTTTGAGCTGGAGTTCAGCCGTTTCTGGAAGCATCGGCGATGGAGGGGCTTGCCAGGGCCTGCTGTGATCAGGGCTGCTCTCAGACCCAGATGTAGGGAGGCTGCAGTCAAGGGAATCTCTAATGATCCCCACGTAGGTTCAGAGGTCAGAAATGCTGTGAGGCAACTGTTTCCCTGCTGACAGGATGAGATTACACCAGCATTTGAACAACAGTACAAGGGTGTAGCGGTTGCATTAGTAAATGCAAACCCTGCTCTGTCTTAAACTTGGTCTCATGCAGAGGACAGGCTTTGGATCCACTGTCCCAGTTTTGAACCTGCCTTCATGTCTAAAAACAATCAGTAATCTTTGATAACAGCAATAAACAAACAGGTTCCAGAAACAGAAGTTGCCCAAACCCTTTCCTACTATAGATTTCTCTGATAGATATGAATGATATTTGCATCAGGATGATAGGGGTTACTTTTCCTGGCACAGCTCCCCCAACTAGTGCAGTTTGCTGCCGGGGGGCTGCACGGTTGGGCTGAGCACCTCTGGGCTGGCCCAGCACCTACCATTCCCTCCGTGTCCGCAGGAGCAAGGCAGAAGCCTTGTGGTACCAGCAAGCCTCCAGCTTGTCCACTACCTGCTCTTCTTCCTTCATCTGCCTACATCTCTTAAAGGTCCTAGCCCCTTGGGTTGGATTTCATGGCAGTAAAAGGTGGGAGCTGGACTGCTCTCTGACTTCCCTCCCACCCGTCCCAGTTAAGACTGTCCGTGAGCAGGCATGTTGCCCCAGAGCTGGCAGTGACAGGGCAGCAGCCAGCCAGCAGGGCTGCCAGCTGCCGGGTGCTCTCTCCGCAGCTGGCCAAGACCTACTCGTACGCCCATGGCTGGATGCACCGAGGCTGGAACTGCGGGGACTACTTTGCCGATGGCATCACGAACGGGGCTTCCTGGTACTCGCTCAGCAAAGGTAAGGGCTGGGTAAGGTAAGGAGAGCACCGCTGCAGAAAGGCAGTGAGGGGAGAGGACAAAGCTGGGGACGGGGTGGGTGGGAGTACAGGAAGGGCTGTGGCAGGACTGTGACCGTTGCTAGATGCTGTGCTGGTGTCAGAAGGGACAAGGAAAACTGGAGGAGGCTTGCGAGAGAGCAAAATCTGGGGTCTGGAGAGATCTGCCACGTGTTAGCAGAGTAAAGAAGCATTAGTCTGTTGCCGTGTCAAGAATACTGTGAGGCAACTCCATTAAGGTCCAAAACTGTGGATATAGGAAAAAGATTTCTTAGGTCATGAGCTGCTGGCTCATGAACAATCCTGTAAATGAAGAAACTGAAAATCAGCAATTAGGTAATAAATAAGTAGAGAGTAGCTGGAAAGGGAAGCATAGGCCCTGAGGTGTGAAGCCTCCTTGAGCTTCTGAAGTGAGAGAAATTAAGATCTGCCTGAAGGAAAGCGTGACAGCCACAATGGGATGAGACTGCACAGAGGGGAGCAAGAGCTGCTCCTGCTGCTCAAAGGAAGGAAGGCTGCACCTGCAAAAGAAGGGAGAGCAGGATTGTTCTGGTAAAGACAGATATGGGCCAATACCTCTGGGACACAGATGGGGAGGGAAAAGGGCTTTGTGTTCCCTGTGGGCCTGGCCATAGGCTCTTTCTCTCCTTTAAGGCATGCAGGACTTCAATTACCTTTACACCAACTGCTTTGAAATCACCCTGGAGCTCAGCTGCAATAAATTCCCCCCCGAGGAGGACCTGGAGCGACAGTGGATTGCCAATCGGGAGGCCCTTGTGGCTTTCATTGAAGAGGTAAGGAGGCCATCGTGGGACCTTCCTCATGTATCGATGGGCCCTGGCCTCGATGGTGGGAGACCAGCAGGGAGGAGACCCACAGGGATTGCTGGGTGCCCTGGAAGGGATATTGTCAGGCTTTGGAGAGGCTGTTTTATCCTGCACTGGCTCTGCTGGGGAACCAAGGGTGCAGGGAAGGGTGGAGGTGGTCCCAGAGCTGAGCTCTCCTCCAGTGTCCAGCAATACCCTCTTGAGCAAAAGCGGGACAACAAGAATCTGTCTCTCTCCCTGCAGATTCACCAGGGCATCAAAGGGATGGTGTCAGACGAGAACAACAACGGCATTGCAGGAGCAGTGATTTCTGTCCAGGGAATCAGCCATGATGTCACCTCTGGTCGGTTGTTGAACCTCTTATATCCCATTTGGATACAGCCTCTCTGAGGTCAGCAGGGGAGGCCTTAATATGTGTGACCAGCACATTTTGCATCTTCAGTTTGGCTGGACAGTATGGGCTGACCACACAAAATAGCTAGTTCTAGCTCTGCAGAGGTCAGACAAACAAATCATCAAAACTTCTGGCCATAAGTCTGTGACTCAGTGGCATGCTGATATTTGGCAGTTCCTGTGCCATTCTGCACAGGCACAGGAGGAATGTGCAAAAGATCAGAGAATCACAGATGTATTGGCTGAAAGGACCCTGCAGGGTCTCCAGCCTGATCTCCACTTGTAGTGGGATTATCCCTAGCACTGGATTTAATCAGACATTGCTCTCTCCAGCCGAGTCTTGCAGACCCCCAAGAGTGGAAGAATTGAGCAGGAGAGCAGCTGAGCTATTTTTGACAGTCCCAATGGGTATCATTTATTTGATGAGACACTAAAACCCTGTGGAAAATCCAAAGATCGCAAAATTCTAACAAGAATTAAAGATCATATGATGCATAAGGAATCATGGAGCTGTGAATGCTCAGGTCTGCTATTTCCTGACTGGCAAGCACTCAGATTTGCTACTTCAGTGAGTTTCTAAGGACAGACCCAGTTAACACTGCTGTACCATCCCATTTCATGTGGCATTTACTTGCAGGCTTCTACCAGGTAGCACTACTGAGCTCTCCCTTCCAGGCCACCAGTGTGCATCCAGCCTAGCAGTAGCCAGCAAATTTGAAAGAGAAGCCAAAAATTGCCTGGATGTTGGAGACTAAGCATCCTAGAGGAAGCTGCTGAACAAAAGCCAGTGAGATTTCTTTTACATTGCTCCCTGTGCATCCTGATTGCTTTCTCTCCCCATCTGATGTTTTAGGTGATATGGGGGACTATTTTCGGCTCCTGCTGCCTGGTACTTACACTGTTACAGCCTCTGCAGAGGGCTACCAGTCCCAAACAGTGACAACAACAGTGGGACCAGCTGCACCTTCATTGGTGAGTCAAACTGAGCAGTCATGAGGTTGTCTCTAAAGATCTTCATCCTGGAAAGAAAGAAACACAGCAGGGGATGGCCCGATAGCATTACAGAAAGGGGACAGGACATAAAGCATAGCCAGTAGCTACAGGCTGCCCTGGTAGACTTAGAGCTCCCTGCACTTCACGAAGGAGGGACAGGCAAAGGCAGTGCCAGGTGCCCTTTGATTCCTTGCAGAGAGCTCCTGTGTCACTCTTGGCTATGGGGAAAAGTGGAGAAGTGCCTGGGCATTGGCAGGGTGGCTGGGGCACCTGCTCCTGGAGCACGCTCTTTCCAGGGTGTGATACTTTGGAGGCAGCATCTATCCTGTCTCACTCTCCTAGCTCTATTACTCCATGGGTTTCAGTGCTCTGCATCCTACCCTGGGATAAAACACATTAGCAGACTCATAGCAGGAGGTTGAGGTCTGCTCTTCTCCCTCCTGACAGCTCCGAGACAGCTAGGAGCTACTGAAGAAGAGCCAAGCACCTTTGGGAGACAAAGTGGGACTGGGTGCTCTTGACAGCAGTGTGTCCTCTGCAATGCCCTTCCCAGGACAGGCTGGACAGATGGAAGTCAGGTTAAAAAAAAGAACAGCGAGTGGTGATCCCTGCCCCTCGCTGTTGCCTTATGAATGTGGCGGGAGCTCAGCTGCAGTCTCTTTGGAGGCATGGGGGACTGGCAGGAACCCCAGTTGTGGCATCCTGACACACATCATATGCTTCACTTCAATCCTGGTCAAGGCTCTTCCTTAAATACACTGTGGTGGTTCTCCCACCCTCCTTCTCTTCATCTCTCCCTACTTAGCCTCTGAAGTTCTTCCAGAATTGCCCTTTTCTTAAGGTTAGAAACCTTTTAATTTTCTGCCTAAATTTACTCATGGTCATTTTATCCCTATTTGATCCAATGCCAACATTGTGCTTTAAACAGCTCCTCTTCTTTGCTGGTATTTATTCCCTGATGTATTTATAGAGATCTGCCATGCCCACTCCTAGCCTTTGTTTTGCTGGGTTAAACATCCAGCTTTTGGCTTTCCTCTGTAAGCTTCATTTTGCTTTTCCCACATTCCTGTAGATTTGATTCATTTTCTGATGCTCTGATTTGCAGCTCTCTCCTCACCTGTCTCCATTTCCCTGCACCCCTAGAACACGCTGTACCTGCTTTCGCTCTGTTCCTCCCTGTTCCAGCTTCACCTTTCCATATGGTCTCCCCATTCCCCATCTCCGTGACGCTGTGCCCTGCATATCCCCTTCTCTCTCCCATAAATTCTTGCCCTGCTGTAGTCTCCTCTGTCCCACCTGCAGTCTGGGAGCGCTGCTCTACCCCCCACTCCGGATTCCTGCTTGGCCTCCATCCTGTTCTCACCATGAAGGGGTCTGCATATCCTGTTCCACCTCTACCCCATAGCCATTTTTTAATCTTTATCTGGCTGCGTGTTTGGCTGGGTTTTGTGTTTGTTTTTTGTTTGTTTTTCCTGTTTTTTTTCCCCGAGTCTATTAAAAGCACTTGTTGCTGAGTGATTAAATAGGCATCAGCTAACCAGGTGCAACTGAAAAGGTCTGTCTGTCCTGCACGACTATTACATTTTCACAGAGATGTAAAGCAATGCTATTTCTTTACTCCCTGATAGAAAAAGAAGAAAACACGAAGAAAGAGCATAGCTCAGTCATTTGTATTTCACAGCTCATCTTCCAAACCATCCTAGCACATTCCATTGCCCTAAGAGCAGTTCTTTGTGTAAGAAATATAGCTCTTTGTTGGTACAAGATTTTCCATGGGCAAATTGTTTCCAGCTGATTTAAGCACTGAGTCCCATTGTATCATAACACTAGTTGAGGCTCCTTACTGTCAATGCTTTTCTTGGCGCAAGAGTTAGCTTAGACTAACCACAGGGGCAGGGTCCTGCAGAGCCCTGAGCCAGCAGGGGACACACACAGTGCTACATGCTTATTTTTCTCTTTTCTTCAGGTGCATTTCCAGCTCAAACAAGACGTGGTGAGGAAGCCCCCAGAGCGTAAAACCTCAGGCTCACGTATGAACAACAAAGCTCTTCAGAAGAAGGTAGTGCCAAGAGCCACCCACCGGGGGACCCAAAGATGAAGACGGCGCCCTTGGCTGAGAGCTGGGGGAAGCCATTTGTAGGAGGCCTGGCTGATGACTGCAGCCAACTGCAGTGAACTTTCCAAGAGTCCAGCATGAAACTAGCCCAAATTATGAGGTTATTAAATGAGGAAGTATTTAATCCCTGAGCAAATAGTGAAGTCATTCACAACAGAATGTGCCTAGGCCGCAGTTCCCAGGGCAGAGTGTCTGTAGCTGCTGAGCTGTTCTCCTGCACTCAGTCCACCTAGGTCAGCTCTGCTCCCTTACTCTTGGACTCAACTGAGTTGCTACAGGCCACATGAGGTGTTCAAACCCTAGTGCATAACAGAGAATGAACCCTGGCCCTGGGCTTTTGACAGTTGGACTCAAGCTAAGCACACGAATCCTGGCACTAGCACCCTGGGTGAAAGTCCCCTGCTTCTCCCTCAGGTAAGGATGGGAGCTATCTACAGACCTCAAATACGGGTAGGTCACTTTTAAAGCAGTTTGTGAGGCGACAGCTCTGAACACTGTTAGTGTCCTGCGCATAAACTCCACAGGTAAGAATGCGGCACTGCCATATAGTGGTCCAAGGTCATCTTCTGGCTGGTAATGCCACATTTATTTTCCTGCACAGATGGGACTTTCTGGTATCAGCTTTGGATTATTTGTAGTCAGACTGGCTCAACCAATACACATCGGCAAAAGCAATGGATTATCCTCTCCTTATGTCTTCAGATCCAAACCAGATGGCTTTTTGAAAGGTCTGCTGTAACCAGCACAAGCTATTAGTCTCAGCACAGACAATGGTAGGTAAGATCCGACAACAAGTGATAAATAGGAGTGCAAAACAGGTGATCTGAGGCGTTTTTTTTCTTTTTAGAGATCGTCTCTGAACCTAGGTTTCTTTCAATGTGCTACAGGGAAATACGGATGCATGACTGTAATACTAGCAATGTGCCATGTTAGCCCAGAGCAAGCCACATGAGCTGTATTTGGGGTAGAGAAGACATACATGTTCAGCAGTGCAGACTGCCTACAAAGTCTGAATAGGTTTGCAGTTAAAGCAAGAATGGTGAGAACAATGTTGGATATTTCTATGGTAAAATATATCAGCAGGTAAAACCCTTCTGGCATCGTTTGTAGAAATAAATAACTCCGGGGCAACAGAGCCCCTCCCATGTGCCCCAACAATTTATTTTCCCTTGGGTAGTTATCCACCTCCCCTATACATCCTTGTGTTGTACTGGCTCTCTCCATGTCTCAGTCCTGTCCAGAAAGTGCCCCCCATCCATGCCCTGAGCTCTTCCTCTTTTACAGACTCCTCTTCATCTCTTGTGAGCAACCTCTGCCACCCTCCTCTACAGGCACTTCATCCCTCACTGACAAATTCTCCCTTGTCTCTGACACGTGATCCTAGTAGTATTTTCTGCTCTGGCTTTGTGCACACATTCCTGTACTTCTCTTCTGCCCCATGCCTCTCCTTGGAAAGCAGAGTGACCTGGCCCTCAGACTGCTATTGCAAGCTATTCAAGCTATTGCGAAGAAGAGCCACAGAAACGGTAGAGCGGCCACCACAGCTGTCAGGGATCTGGGGTTGTACAAGCCAGTGTGGGCTGGGGACGCTGGCCAGTTCCACGATCATAGCCAAAGCAGAGTTCAGATTCCCTGCATTTTTCTCTTTTGGCATTTGGAAGTGAAAAAGGACAGCCAGGCTGAGACATCTGAACTCTTTTGTGGTTTAACATCTCTTCCCTGGGCCAAGCCCAGCTGCTTCAACCCAGGATCCCCCTTGTTTGAAGCCAAGCGTAGCAACATATTCACACAGAGCCTTTTTCAGAGGACTTGCAGGCAGGATAAGGAGGGCTGGCCTGCTCTGTCTGAGCCACAGCCTGGCCCCATACTGCACGCAGAAGGGTTCAGATTTTACCAGCCATCTGATGCATGTACAGGTGGGTACTCCTGCCCCTCAACCACGGCACCAGCTCAGCTGGCTGAGCTAACCACTCACCTCCAAGGATATGCAGGAAGCTGACACAGAAGAAAGGGCTCCCAAGGAGAAGGTCAGAGCCCACCGGGGATCCTGCTCTGGTTACCATGTTGGCTAGCCCCATCTGAGGGCTTCCTGGGCAGGGCTGTCCATGCCACCAGCACTGGCTGCCACAGGTCATCATCTGAGCCTGGTGGCTGCAGGGTGCTCTCATGATGCCCTCTTGTGGCCCTGAAAAATGCAATAACAGCGTAATTCCCCTGGCTTTCCAGGGCGGTCAGAGGACTGGGATTTCTTCTCTGGAACAGGGCAGCCCATCCAGGAGGCCAAAGCACTCACCTTTGCTGTGGGGTGAGCAGTGCGGGAGCAAAGCTGAGAGTCTTGGTGATGAGCTTCTCTTATAAAACAGTTCCCACAAAATGAAGCTTTCTGCAGGAGCTTCTATCTCTCGTTTTCTCTCTCTCTCTCTTTCTCTCTCTCTCTCGGCCGGGATTTGTCAAGCTTCATCCAGGGTTTGTTCTCCTCCCCGCTCTAAATATTTGTGTGTTGAGCAGTTTGGTAAAGCTCCACTTGGCCATGGTCAAGCTCTCCACGTGAGAACATGATTACAAAATGTTTCCAAGGCACCACTTTCTTGAGCCCGCCTCTCCAAGGCTTGCCATGAACTTAGCCCCGAGTGTTGCAAGAAGCGTGGGCTAAAACAGTGCTAAACTTTTGTATATAACATCTGCTGTGCCATGGTTTCATGTTCATTTGAGGCTCAGGTCAAGCCAAAAGCAGTTGATAATGTTGTGGCAGAAGAAACAGTAAACAGCCTTTTTCAGGTCTCATTTATCCTTTTTGAGATGAGAGAACCAGAACTGCATGGAGAGATGGTAAAAACAAGGTGAAGTCGGGCCCAGAAAAATGAACCGAACTTTTACAAGCAATACTGTGAAGACCTTGGGACGAGCAGGGGCCCCAGTGAGGAAAGGGACTTCCTTCCCTGGGCATGCTGGTTTCTGCAGCTGGCACAGAGGAGGCAGCAAGTGGAAAAATATACACAACTGAACTCAAAAAAAAAGGGAGGGAGGTTTTGTGGGGAGGCCAGGAGACATGGGTTGGTCAGGTATGGACCTGAAATGTTGCAGGGGGAAATCAGGATGATGAATTCTCTAGAAATACTGAGGTTAGAAAAGACAGGGCTAGAAATGGATGATTAAATGAAGATCGGTCAGCAAGTCAGCAAGCTGCTTATTACAGAAGTAGAGGGAGGCACATCTTACAGCAGAAAATATAAAAGGCTTTTGTAAGTGTGTAGCTTTTCTTGGAACACCGGAAAAGTTGCACTCAAAGCCAAGGAGAGGCTTGGCTAGAAGTGAAAGGGCAATGAAAAGCTTAGAGTAAGTTAAAGTGAAGGTAAGTGTGTAAGAAGTGGGACATAATCCTGCACAACTGGATACTGTAAATCTGTGCAGAAGTTAGCAGGGTCTTGCAGGACAAGCTGGTGAGGTCAGAGCTGTGACTGATCCACAGGCCTCAGTGTCTGTTTTAGGACCTAATTCACAGAAAAAGCTTCAGTTTTCCTTGGATAATATTACTTTTGTATTGGCTTGTACGAGTTTAAACCAGTTGCTCACACCCAGAGGTGCTGCTGTACTCACCTCCCATGCCTTTCCCCGACTGCATTTCTGTGCTGTTGTCATTGCAGTGCCACTGCCCTGTGGACAAGGACATCTGCATGACCATTCTACGGTGCCCAGGAGAAGGCAGCAGAGCTGCACCAAGCTCATCCCTAACTGTGTATCTGGGTCCTATTCTTGGCTCTCACTGGCTACATGCTATAAGCAGAGAGAGCTTCCAGTGAAGCCACGCACAGTACCCACGTCCTTCTGCTCATGAAGCACCAAGCGGCAGCCTGTTGTGTGGTGGAGGTATATTGAGGGGCAGGCATTATGCTTCCCTGGGCAGCGCAGGACTTCTCTGGGGCAGAAGATGATGCTCACAGAATGACAGAATGGTTGAGTTGGAAGTTCTTCCTATAGAGATGAAACTTCCTGTGTTTCAATTTGTACCCATTATCCCTTGTCCTGTTGGTGGCCACACCAAGAAGTTTGGCCCCATTCTCTTTACATTCTCCCCTTGGGTATTTGTACGTGTTGATACGATCCCGTCTCAATCTTCTCTTCTCCAGGCTAAACAGGCCCAGCTTGTTTAGTCTTTCCTCATATGATAGATGCACCAGTCCCTTAATCATCTCCATTGCTCTGTGCTGGACCCTCTCTAGAAGCTCCATGTCCTTGTACAGCCCCGGGCCTTCTGCCAAGCTCAAAGCCGCTGTGCCAGCAGCAGTGTCCCCCAGTATCAGGAGGCCAGGCTGCAGCTCCCGGCCGTGCAGGTACTCATGCACACAAACACCACTTGCACACACGGCTTGTCCTGCACACCCTGGGCTTGGCTGGTGGCCCGCCAAGCTGTGCTCTGGCTCATTGCTATGGAGAAGCAAGCGCGGCTAAAGCAGCAGGCCTGGCTGTGACGCCTGTGCTGGGAGCTGAGGGACATGGGCCATGCAGGGCCCTGCAGAGAGACGGTGGCCTTGGGACATGGAGGGGTGGTATTTTTGCCCTGCCAGGAAAACCAGAAAAACACCAGCTGC